TGAGTTGAGGGCATCCTCTTGCAATGGCTACAATTCCAGCATCCCGAATTTGGTTGCAGCCACTGACATTTAGATGTTCTAAGGGGCATCCCTGACCTAAGGCAATAAGAGCCTCATCCTGCACCCTAATAGAAAAAGGCTAAAGTTAGATAAAATGCCAATTAAGGGAACCATATTTCAGACAAAACAAAAATCAAGAACAGCTGAAAACATGAAACAGCATGAAGAAATAGCATTATCACACAAACTAAGCCAGAAGGAAACTGCAATGAGATGCACCTATCACAAAATCGGAGACTAAGATCAGTGAGAGAGTGACAATGCTCACCAACAGCTATGATTCCCTTGTTTCCAACCTATCGACAATGGAAGACATACAAGTTATGATTTATATCACAATTTATAATTGCTGAAACTGAAAACAAATGGACTGCCAGCATCGAAAAGATACGAGCAAGTCTACATAAGATGGAGACTAAAAAGATGAAGCATTAAAAACTATCAATAAATTTCTTACTTCAATCATTTCTGAAAATATTTTGGTTCAAAACTCCATTCTTAAAATAATAACCATCTAACTGCCATCTTACACAGAAAAGAAAAACGTCCTACATAAGACATCAGTGAGAGAGGGAGGAGGAGGAGAAATCTCGTTAAATAGACAGTTTCCCTTTCCAGGCAATAGGCAAAACCATTTTCCTAATGTAGAACAGGATAGCACCCAAGCAAGTCAGTAGTAGTGGTTCAAGAATATTGTAGTTGGAGGAAAAATTCCATCACACAGAGAGAGAGAGAAAGAGACCTCATAACATCTCCAAATATGAAGTTTCCTCAGATTTCTGCAACCTTTTGCTATACTGCAAATCGCTTCATCTCCAATGCTAGAGCAATCTACCAAGTGAAGAGCTTGCAAGTATTTACAGCCCCTTCCAACTTCATGAAGAGCAAAATTACCAATCCTCTGGCAGTATAATAAAGCCAACTCAGTGAGGCGCCTACACCAAGTCACAAGCTTCAGAATCGACACAGTTAAAAATTTGCAATAAAATTTTACGTGGTAATTTTAATTAACTACATGTGGAAAACCAAAGAATGCCCAACAATAGGAACTGCATATGATCCCTAGCTCCTGCTAAAGTCAGGGCCTCCTGTCCCTTTAAAAGAGTGGTAAGGGAAAATAACAGAACATACGGGCATGATTTCCCAACAGACTCCAGTCCAATGGTTCCAATGTTGTGGCAGCCATTAACTTCAAGATGTGTAATTTCAGTGCAGCCAGTGGCGATTGCCTTCAGACCCTTGTCACTCAGGAAATAGCAATCACTCAAAGTAAGATTTTTTAGCTTCTTGCACCCTTTTCCAATAGCACGAAAACCACTGAGACATAAATCAGATGTATACTTCAGCAGTCATACCATGTATCATAAAACATAATAAATAGACCTTAGAATTAGACAACAAAACTTTGGGGTCCACTTATATTCCAAAAGACAGAATTAGAGGGGGGGAACAAAATGGTCAAATAGCCTTAGGCATACAATTCACTTATGGTGATCTTTCTAAGGAATAGTAACTAACTTGTCTGTAAATTGCTGGAAACTGTACAAGGCCAATATTTCCAATGACAAACAAGAAATTCCCACTGCCATCAAAGCCTCATCTGTAACACTAATACATTGCAACTTCAAGACTTTCAAAAGAGAACAGCCTCGGGCAATAGCAAGGATCCCTTTATTGCAGATAAACTCGGAATCAGTGACAAGGTATCCAGAGATTTGCAATGAGACCCCACAGCTTCCAGTGATTTATCAGTTATTCCCGCACAAGCAGCAACACCAAGAGATTTCAATGATTTCCACAACCAGTGGCCAAATCAACCAATCCTGCATCAGTCAAGCTTTCACAGAAACGCAAATTTAGGTCCTCAAGTTGCTTGCAACACTTGCCAACAACAACTAGACCTGATCTCCAACATAGCAACCCTACAGAAAAACATCATAGGCAACTAAACTGCAAGTAGTGCATTGCTTAATGAACATGACAAGTAGAGTGGTATATAGTCGAAATTGTTGAAAAAATAATCCATAAACAACCCAATTGAGCAAACGTGATAGAGTAAAATATCACCAGTCTCCACTCAAATATGATGAATTACCTGCAAATCCAAGGATTTCAAGAAAGAGCATTTCTGTGCAAGGACACTATACCCAAACTTGTAACATTATAACACCAGATTAAGCTCAACTTTTCTAGTTTAGAAAAGCCATCAGCGACAGCAGTCAAACCAGCATCTGTCAGACAGAATGATTCGCACTCCTCTTCTTCGTACCCAATTTTTTCAGCCGCGTAGTGTACCTTGAGAGATGTCAATGAATTCCCATCTCTGCCATGCTTTTTCCCCTGCACCAACAACTTAAACTACCTCATTAACATGTCTATCATTGGGTCGTTGATTTTACTACTTCCTTATTGCTTCCCCATGGAAAAAGCAATATTTTTGAAATTTTAAATATTAAAAATGTATTTTCTTTTATAACAAAAATTAGACTTGGTAATCTAAAACATACACAGTGACACAACATGAATACAATAGGAAAAATAAACACGAAGATAACACAGGTTTAAGATTTTAACAATAACTATACTCGGCTTAAACAAAATAAAAAAAGTATTTCATATTTTAATGATGAATTATGACACATAATTTTAGTGTAAAACATAATATGAATACACAAATTTTAGTATTTTACAGCACACGAATAGCCGAATCCTTGGGTCTAACAAAAATAAATGATATTCCTTTTACATGTATTGATTAATTATACTACAATCCCTATTATATTTTAGTAATTTGTTTTACAATTTGCTAAGTAAATAACAAAAGCGATAATCAAAGTATTTAACTATTGTAATAATTATCATTTTCAGAATTCAGGGTGCATGAAATGCCAAACTTATTTAAAAACTACGCAAAAAAAAAAACTGAAATTTATCGTAAATTGACGAATTTTAGATTTGATTACCACGTTGACAGGTAAATAAATGGATAATCTCTCGTCAATATGAACGGCTTTGACATTGATGAACCGTTGAGCGAGGAGCTTGACGAAGTGGTCGGGACTTCCAGAGGCGCCGATTCGGAGGGTGGTGCGACCAAGCCGTTCGAGACGGAGCCACCGTCTGCAGACGAGGGAGCAGGCATCGTGGCTGGCTTTGGAATCCACCCGTCGTAAGATCTCCAAGATCAGCTCGTCCGGAAGACATGTGTTGATCCAATCATGGCCACGCATCGGGGACTACATAGAGTTATCCGTACTGGAAAATTTTATAGTCTTTTTTTTTTCTTCTCCAAGATCAAGAAAAGGAAAATTGAAAATTATTGTAAATATTTTGACGGAAATAGTTTTCTATGATGTAAATAATTTAGGCAAGCGAAGGAGTCGGTGGTATTGGTAATTATAACGTGTAAATAGGATATTAATATTTTAAAGATATTTAAGTTTAATTTAAATAAAAATTAAATTTGATTTAATTATTATTTAATCGAATTGAAGTAAAATGATTTTTTTAAAAGAATTAAATTTAAATATTTTAATATCTAATTGAATAACTAACAAATTTAATCAAATTTATTTTACTTAAAAATTATTATTTTATTTTATATATATCAATTTAAATTTAAACTCCAGTTTAAATATATTATAAAACTTAAAATCAATTAAAGAATCAAACTCATTTTTTATTAAATATATTTAATCGAGTAAATTTGATCAATTTTAATTTTTATTTGAGTCAAATTTAAATTTAAAAATTAAAATTTAATCGAATTTGAATCAAATTTAAAATAATAAATTTAAAGTCAAATTTAAATTAAATATTTATTATATCAATTCGACTTAATTTAATCATATTTTAAATAATTTGACTCAATTTAATTAAATTATATCTTTAAGCGATAACTAAGGAAACGCTTTTGTTTTTATTTTATTTCCAATAATACCTCTTTTTTTTTTTTTTTTTTTGATGAAGTTGTTTAAAGGAAAATTAGAACATATAAGAATTTTTTTTTCTTTATTTTTAATGGTAGAACATAAGTTGATAACATATTTTTATAGGAAATTTAATTTGGCTACCAACATAAGAAGTTATTACATTTAAAATTGTAAAATTTTGAATCCCAAACTTTTAAATTCATTTTATATAATCATCATTTAATAAAAAATTCAATAATTATTATTAGCTAATATAAATGATATTATCTTCAAATAAATTTTTTAATATAAATTAAGATTTTAAGTTTTTTTTTTTTAGCATACCGTGCCATTGATGATATTTTATCAATTATAATTTGTATAAATTAATTATTATATAATTATATATTAACAAATTAGAAGGTAAAACGATTTTGGTGAAATATATGAAATATAAATTTTCATTGAAAATTTACTATTGTAATAAAGAAGACTTACTTTTAATTTGATATTTGCATTAAATATTTTTTATGATTTGCATTTATAAAAAATTTATAACTTAATATCTAACTTTTATTTTATTATAACAAAAAAATTTAAAAAATAAAATTATGATACATGATATAATTTCATTGATTAATGTCTTTTTTTTTGTTTGTTTGAAATTTTTACTCTTACTTAAAGTCCAATACCTTATTACTTAAAGTGATTGAAAAAAATATTATATGTATAAATTCTCTCAAATTTATAATTTTAAAATATAAATTTTAATAATATATTCATTGATTCAAGAGATAATCGATTTCATTGATTAATATATATTATATCATCATTTTACTTAATAATATTAGTTGATAATATAAAATAACCTATAAAAATAGAAATAAAATATTAAATTATAAAATTTTAATAAATATCAAAGTAAAAAGTGATATAATTCATAGTTAAATTATATATTAATCCGGAGTAATATTGCTATTTATATTAATTTAAAAAAATTTAAAAAAAAACCCACATTCCCTACTGAAAAAAAAAAAAAGTTTCCCTTTGAAGTTTAAACTTTGTGAGCAATTTCTATTTTTTTCAAAATGTTGTGATTTGAAGTGAAACGAAAATGTGAAAAGTCTATATGATCAACAGATCAATTACATTTTCTCAATCTGCAAATCATTCATCGAAGTGAAATTGAGAGAATTGAATTTTGGGTCGTATCATATCACATCATTTCGACATTTGATCGATCATGTCCTTCTTATTCTTCGACCCGTCAAGGCCCAAAACCCCGCAAGAGGTAGCCAGGGCGATCAAGGACAGCCTCATGGCTCTCGACGCCAAAACCGTTGCTGAAGTTAAAGCCCTTGAAAAGGTTTTTTTTTTTTTTTTTTTTGGGGGGGGGGGTTATGCTTAATTTTAGCATAATTTCTTGTATTCTTCAAATTTTTTTGGGATTTGGGCTATGTGGTTGAGTCTCAAGTTTGTTGTGATATTGAAATTATGAAATGGGTTTTAAGAATTATTTCATTTGGTAATGGTTTTGGCATTGGTTTTGCTAGTTGTTTTAAATATTTTACGTGTTATGCCATTACTTTGCTCTTCTTCCCAAAATCTTTGGAGCTTTTTGCTTTCCCGCATGAAATGCTACTGTTTGTTATTAGGATGTCAACAATGAAGTGTCTTCCAATGTCATTTGTTGTAATATGAACAAAATGGCTGATGCTTTATTATTTTGTACATAGAAAATCCATTGTCCATTAGGCTAGAGAAATGGAGGTAGCTCTCCCATCTAATAAAGTCTTAAAGATTTGAACCTGAAACCTGCAAGTGGAATGCTCAAGTTCTAACCCAATGGGACAAAAGGGGCAACGCTTGCTTGATGTCTATGTCTGCTAATATTGTCTCATGGGATCAACACCATTTTAGCCTACTTTCAATGGCATTGTAGATAAAATAATAGGTTTGGTCCAAGGATGGATGATTTTTGTTTTAGCCACAAGCTAAATGTTGGGGTTTAGTTTCTATCAGGGTTTATGTTCAGAAATGAAATCGAAAATGGACCGCAGAGACATTCAGTTACTTTGTAAATTACTCATGTTTAAGAATTTGGATATTGATAGTTATGTTTTTATATTGCCTTGGGCTATGGAAGAAGTTGAAAAGAATTTTGTGACAATGAGATGCATGCTTTCAAGAGATGGGGAGGTTGAACCAAATGTGGATCAAGTCTTACAGTTGGCACTTGAAATTTCTAAAGAGAATGTTATTTCTCTCATTAGTCACAAGTTGCCCATACTGGGATGGGAAGCAAGTTCTTGATATTTTTACTATTTTGGTCATATCTGGTTATTTAATAAGCTTGCCTATTTATTTTATGTTTTTACAGGCAAGAAAAGATTTATTACACCTTTGGTCCATATTGTTGAAGCAAAAAGTTGATTCCACCTGTTGCTGTGTGGAGTACATTGAGAAGCATTTGGAGTTATTTGACTTTCTTGTGGTTTGGTAATGTTATGAATGTCATTTTCACATTTATCTATGTCCATGCCCCTTTCTTTTCAACTAGAAATCTCTATAATTTGTTGTCTATTACATGCTTATCGAATATGCATAAAGCTGGTTTAATGTGACTCTTTCTCTCTCCTTCCTATTTGTTGTGTTCAGAGTGTGTTGTTTATTTCTATAGGATGGCATTGACCTGTATGCATACTGAAATAACATGGACAAAGTCATGTGTGCTATTGAATCACTAAGGTTAGGTGTGTAATTTCTATCTTTTGCAAGCAGCTATTATAACAAGGAAATTGCTTTAAATTGTGGAAATATGTTGAGGGAGTGCTTCAAATTTCCAACACTTGCACAGTAAGACATTCGAGCTTTATGTCCATTTCGTTCATATGACTGAAGTACTTAATGATGTTGCTAAAGTGATGCTATGGTTGAAAACATTGTCATTGCTTCTTCCTAAATGATGATTGTATAAGATTTCAGAAGAGGAAATATAATTCTTTCAGTACATAAGTTCTCTAAATTTTTTATTATATTCTATATCATCTAATTTGTGGCAAGCTTTGCATGTAACCTTGATTGGAATCATCATCCTCATTTGTATGCTCTTTTCCAAATATGGTTTTACGTGTTAGCATCTACTAAGGTTTATACACTAGGCTTTCATGAGGTGAGGTGGTGAATAAGCAGAACATGCTGCAGCATGAAATATGTTGCTTTCAGCTCAGCATTCAGATACAACTCCGGTTTTTAGTAGACTGATTAATCACCACTTCAATATCTTCTGATGTTGTTAACTACAAAATTAGGTTTGTGAGGATAAACTTCTTTTTAATATTCTGGCCTGCTTTAAAAGATCAAGTGTAAAACATATTATGAAGGTTTTGAGTAAAACTTGGATGCTGGGTAATTCAGGAACTGGTGCAGTTTAGAGATTGGTAATGATCATTACCTATTTTAGAAGTGCCGATTGCTGCTTTTATTAGATGTCAAAAGCTATAACCGGTTGGTGTCTATGAACTAGTCCAAGTAAATCAAAGGAGGAAAAATTGGCTGCTAGGGCACTTTCTTTGTTTTAAATTTAATGTTTGGTGCAAAATTTCTTTATTGAAAATCAAGTTTCACTTTTTCACCAGTTAAATTTTGTAGTGATTTTTCAGATACATATTAAAGTCTGCTAGCTTTGTGTTATTCTTCAAATTTGTGGAGTTGCCCAACTTTGACGTTGCTTCTGATGCATTTTCAACATTTAAGGTTAGATGTATTAGTTTTTAAGTCTTACGGGTACTTTAGATTAAGTACATGCATTTTCAGGGTCCATGCTTTCTTCCTCTTATGCGTCTTTGATTGAATTTCCTCTGGATCTGCTTACAAAACATGGAACATTGTTATCTGAATAATTGACTGCTCATTACGATGAGGTACATTTACATACTGTTTAATCCCTTCTTACGTGACAGAAATGATCTAGGCTGAGAACAATTTTGCTTTAGGGCTTTATGTTGATTGAATGCTTCAACCTAGAAGACCTGCTGAGCTAAAAACTTTCTTCAAGAATGTTTTATATTGTGTGTACCCTTTTGGTAAGGGACATCAAGTGCAACTACCCCTGATGAATCTGCATGGTGCAGAGCTCTGAAAATATCTTTCTTCATAAGTTTGTTGAGATATCCATTTTCCATTTTCTCTCTTTTAGCTTATCTAATGAGATAATGTTGTTCCTGTTCTTTGATCTATATGAAAAACTCTTGATGTCTTCTAATTACGTGACAAGATGGCAATCTTTAAAGGTTGGTTTCGGCACTTTCTCTCTTTTCCATCCTGTTTGGATCTGTAGATATGTTGATTGGTAAGATGTGTTAATGCTGCAATGTTTTTGGTTTAGCTTCTGTCGCAATTTCTTTTGGAGACTCCAAATTCCCATATAATGAAGTGCTATATTTTAGAAGTTCGGTATTTGAAAGTTATGATGACATTGCTGGAGGTACTTCTTATTAACTGTACTTTTTTCTCCTTTATGTTTCTTTTGGCGTTAATTGGATTGAATCTCCATTGGCAGTCCGGATGTCTTATTGAAATGAGTTCTGATTTACATTCAACCATCATACACTCTTGCATCTTCGACCGTCCATTATTGGGCCTGAAGAGACATGGAAAATGAGTGATGCAAGAGTGAAAGCCATGAGTGCGGAATGGCATTTTTGTTTTATGGAAACTGCTTCAACTTATTGATATACTTTTGGGTATTCAACTTGGAATAGATTGGACCTAGTGAAATCATATGAGCTCTCTGTTTTTACTTTTATGTCTGATAAGATTATCCCAGTCTGCTTCCTTGGTACATTAAATATCTTAACCTGTAGCTATCGAGAAGAACTTGTTTGAAATTGTCTGTTATATGATTTGACTTTTTACTTTCCGCTCTTTTTGTGTCAAAGCAGGATTCAAGTAAAAACATGCAGATTTCTGCTTTCCACATTTTCAAAGTGGTTTTTCCCTCTCCTTCTCTCTCACTCTCAAATAAACACATCGTTTTTGCTAGTCCCAGCACAGGCCTATCCACAGTCCACAGGCAAGCACATGTTCTGTCATGGGGTTTTAAGAATACATCTTTGTAAAAAAGCCTCAGGGCAATGTTCTAAGTTAATAATTAGACAAGAAATGATGAGTGATGATATTCATGAATTGGAAGCTCGCCTATGAAAGTTCCCAATGTCTCTATCTCTTTCTCCTGCTTCAATGAACCCTAAAATATGTCATACTAAATGTCATAAGATGTCCTGTCCAAAAGATCTTCAGATATTAATGTTCAAGATCACCCATTGAGACTGAAATTTAGCCTGCGGAACATTATACTTTGGAGTATTTCTTCTGTTGCATTTCCAAAGCCAGTTCGCTCTCTTTGTCTTAAAAAATTACTTGGGACTGTTGGATGCAAATTACTTAAATGATATCACCTAGATAACAGGGAAAGAAAGCTTACTTCAGATATTGCAAGAATTGTTCTAATCTATTGTTTTCCTTCCTTTGCTATTCGCATGAAGGTTTTGTTGCTAATCCTAACAAGCCAAGAGAAGTAAAGATTATTCTGGCAAAAAACCATGAAAAATTGCTGGATCTGCTTCAAAATCTCTCAGGAAAAGGTACTTAAATCTTTTGGCCATACATTTTCTGAAAAATTGGCACCAGATATATAGTTGGGTTTTTTCCATTTGAAACCATTTTCTTAGTTGTCCTTGTGCTTGTCTTTTAAGAAATAATTGTCATCGCATGTGCCGAAGATGAGCAATTTGAAGAGGAAAAGGAACTAATTATCAAGGAAATCGAAAGATTATCCCGGTTTCCAATTCTTAAATGCTAGTTTCCATCGCATGCTGTCTACTTTTATTAAATGCTAATTTCTGAATGATGATTTTCCATGGTGTGAGAACCGTCGGCCAAGGAAAGAAATTTACATCGAAGGAATATCAGAGTTCTGGTACAAGACAATATATAAGAAACAGTGAGCCCTTCCTAATTTCTTGTTAGAATTGTCAATGAAGTATGGTATTGTTGTATAAGGTGTGAAGAAACATAACTAGATTTGATTTCAGGAGTCGTCGTCAACTTTGATTGTATGAGTTATCTGTGGCTCATTGTGCTTTTGTTATATCATGCAACTGTTGTACGGCCACCTGGATCAGGGTGTATAGTATAATTGAAGCATTTTTTCCCGTAAAATAAAGGTTTGGTTAGTAAGTTGTTTAGCTTCTTTTTCTTTGTCATGGAATCTTTTGAACAATTAATTTTTCCGTGGACAGACATTAACATGGTGGAATTACTTTGGCTTCTTTTTCTTTGTCATGGAATCTTTTGAACAATTAATTTTTCTGTGAATAGACATTAACATGGTGGAATTGCTTGCTGCAATGTTGGTAGCTTCTCTTAACATATTAAAGCAAGCCTGCAATAGAAAAAGAACTTGTCAGCCTACCCATAACACAAACACTACAACAATAGTCAATCCACGAATCCAGAAGCCACAGCTTAGAATTGTCTCGACCATAACACAAACACAGAAAAGTCAATCCTCGAGCTCGGGAGCCACGGCTTGAAGCATAAGCCTGGGCCATAACACAAACACGATCCTGTCTTTGTTGTTTCCTTCTTTACATGGTGGATAATTGGCCATAACTTGAACAAGTCGAATGACGATAAGAATGACAGTGTTGTATCTACATTTTTAAATGGAAATGGTTGGAAATGTTATGAGTTTGATGGCATGTTTATAGACATAAACAGATTTGGGGAATATAATTTAGTTACTAGATTTGCAACTTTGTTGTGACGAATTCTCTGATTCAGAGGCTGTTGAAATTTTCTTTCAATTTCTGGCTTCATTTCAACACTAAATTCAACTCCAGAATGCAAACACCTTTTTATTCATTACCAATTAACCAAAGCTAAACGTTCAAAAACTACAATAATATAATTTGCAGATGAGATAAGTCATAAAGCAGTTCAAATTCGACTGAATCGAACAAGCATTAAGATTTTTCTTAAGAAAAAAGATGAAACCCTAGAAAGGGAAGAGAGAAAAAGATGAGAACTTTGGGTTGAGGGGTTTAGTTGATGTCCGAGTCATCGAAATCGTCTTCGAAGTTGTTGAAGAAATCGGCGTCGGCTAGCTTGTTGTCGATGGAGATGCCGCCTTCGCCGAACATCTCGAGTGGGTCAACGTCGTCGACTTCCATGGCTGAGCCTTGATCGTCTGGGTCCACCATGAATTCCATCGGCGTTGGCCTCATCTTCCTCTTCAGCTTCTAGGGATTTCTTTTTAAGTTTGCGTGAATTTAACGCTGAGCTTATATAGAGAAATGTTTTCTATGAACGGTGTCGCTTCAGATGCTTAAAATTTTAAACCAAAATCCTTTCACGGAACGCAGCGTTTTCCAATTTAATCGGGAAAACTTTCTATTCCTGCAACGACGTCGTGAGATTCTTGGTTATTTTTATCATCAACGGTTTTTCAATGGACAAGAAAATAAGAACGTGGCAAAGTGGTAGAGATCGAGAAATATGGGGAGCAGAGAAGCGGAAATGGAAATGGCAGCAGCTCAACCATGCCCTTGTTCTTCCTTCATCTTCTTCACCCATAAATCCCACCTCCATAATTTCATTCATTTGCCACTTTGCCCTCTCTCTTACTCTCATTTACGCCGTCGTTTCAGCTCATGTGCAGCCAGAGATAGCAGCAGCAGCAGTAGAAGGAGAAGAAGCAAATGGGACCCTAATGCTGAGAATATTCGTGCCAAAGGCTTCAGCTTCAACACCCAAAACGATGGCGACGACGAAGAAAGAGATGATTATTATGAAGAAATGGCAAATTCCGGGATTTTGGACGAAGCGATTGATAGCATTTGGATTTTGAAGGTACAATCTTTTCTTTCCTTTCCTTTTTTTTTTTTTTTTTTTTAAAATTTCGATACATTCTTGAAGGTAGAATTTTGAATACCAAATGGGATTGATGTAAATGAATTTCATGCATTAAAATGGATTAAATTTGATGCATTTCTTTTTATAAATGAATTAGCTTCATACATCAATAATTTTGCAAAAACTATGGGTCCTTTTGAACAACTTAATTCTTGGATTTATTCGGTTAGTTTAATAGGATTTGCTTCCTCTTGAACAAGTAGTAAAATGAAGAAATTTGATTTGAAATCAACTTTATTCTTGGATCTATTGGGTAGTTTAATAGGATTTGCTTCTGTTGCAAATTTTAAAATTTAAGGGACTTGCCTCTTGCTTCAAATCTTAGTTGCAGGCTCACATATGCAGCTGTAAATTATGTGATACTAAGAATCTTTTGCATGGGACTGACACTCCACAGGAATATAGGAATCCCATCTCAAGACTCCTAATATCCGGCGATTATTCCGTTGACAATGTTGGGAAATCTTTTATATTGTCCTTCGCAATGAGGGGTTTGATTGGCAGCTCATGCAAGTTAACTAGTTTTAGTACCAGAAAAACTACATGACAGCTTTAGTTGAGTTTACATGGGCATCAACAAACTGTTTGAACTCTTTGCAGATTCACATATTTGCTGATTATGGTGAGAAATAGCGTTAGCTTCCACAGACCACAACACAGGATTTTCACTTTGGACGTACCATTCGGCATTTGCCTCTTTCATAACCATCATTCAAACCATAGGCATCTCCTTATGCCTTAGTACTGAATTTTGCTCTATATAGGAATGTTGTTTTAAATGAACTGTTGCTAAATAATTGAATTTTCTCGAATGGATCATGTCCTACAGTTTGTTCCCCTCAATGTTATTTTATCAAATGTTAATTTCTTTTTTTTCCCATAAAAAATGCATTCTGTTGATCCCAATACTTTTGCAATTGGTCAATGCAGGTTTTCAAATCCTTTGGTTGGACGCTACCAGTCATTTTACTTTCCTTCTTGTTTGCCACTGGCCCAAAAGCTTTCCTCATGGCATTAGCCCTTCCACTTGGGCAGTCAGCAATAACTATGGCACTTGAAAGGTTTTGGGAAGGTCACAAAACAAGCAGAAGCGTAAGGTCAGGGTAAGAAAAAAACCAAAAAATACATCTCGGCACACTGTAAAAAATGTTAAAATGGAGGAAGAGGTACAAGAAGGCCAAAAAAGCAGAAAGGGAAGAAGGATTATCAATCATGGGTAGTTAGTGATGATGGTTCTCTCAATGAGGGTGGCAACGCTGCAACCAACTTTTGGTGGATGGGATGAGCTAGATGGAATGGGATCAATGAAAATGCCAACAATGGGAAATGGCTCAAAAAGGACATCAAAGGAGGAGGGCAAGTTGAGTATGAAGAAAGTAACAATGATGCACCTTTGCTGTTGAGATTGTTGATTGCTGTTTTCCCATTTTTAGGTTCTTGGACTAAGATGTTTTGGTGATCCCATCTAGCAAGCTTAAGGTTACGTGCATGGCATTCATTTCTTTCTTGTCTTTAGCCCAAAAGGATTGCTTGTTCTGGTTCATGCTTGACTATTTTTATAGCTCATGCTTGAGGCCAGAATCATAGATCAACAATCTAAACAAAATCATTTTTTAACGCATTTTAATATATCATTATACGAGTCTAGTTATAAGCATATATACAAGCATTTTTTTTTTCTTGCTAAAATCCCATTGTCTTTGCAATTCTTGTTCTGGTTTAGGGTTGGGATTTGTTTGTATCTTGAAACATTGTCTTGTGTTTTTATTTTTATTAAAATTTTCAGTTTTTTGAATTTGTCATAAATTTTTTTGAATTTTTTTTTTAAATTTGAGATTTTTTTAATTTTTTAAGTTTTCATATTTTTTTAAAATTTTATAATTTTTAAAAATATTATATATTTTTTAATTTTTTTAATATTTCAGATTTTTTAAACAATTTTGAAAACTTTTTAGATTTTTTTTTATAAAATTTCTTTTAATATTGACTGATAATTAATAATGTAACATTGATTAGACATTTTTACGAATCTTATTGACTTTCATATTATGTAAATAAATTGACTAACAATATTAGGGCCTACAATCGCTTGACCTAGTGTGTTTAAAATTTTAAATTTTGATAATCTCGAGTAAAAAATCCCAACATTTATTTATAATAGATTTAATTAAGGATTAAGTTATTTATTTAAGTCTAAATATCCATTCAAGTTTTGAGAGATAAAAATTGAAGCTCATTAAATAGATTTGGACGTAGTTTTTAAACTCATTTAAATTTCAAGTTAGGTCTTAAATAAAAAATTTAAAATTTAAGTTTGATTTGTTTAGATTCGAATTTACGTATATATAAAATTTTTATTTATATATATGTAAATTATATATAAATTAATTCGTATATATAAAAAAATTAAAATTAAAAATTATATATTTTTTATTAAATTAAAATTTTATTTTTAATTTTACATATATAATATTTATTTTTAATTTTTATGTATATGTGAATTAAATATAATTCAACTTAATTTAATTTATACTTAATTTAATCACATTTTTTAAATTTTTATTATATAAATTAAGGTAAGTGGGTGGGTTAAGGATATATATTTTTAATTTGAGTTGGACTTAAAAAAATTTTTATTATATAAATTAAGGCTAGTGGAAACACTTCTGTCTACAATCCGAAAGTTCACAATTGTTTGGATCCAATTGTCAGCATTAGAAAGATATTAATTGTCAGCATTTGGAACTGAATTAACCAAAGTTTTCAGTATATGGAAAGATATCAGACTATAGATATTATTATTTACATATTTTAGTTAATTTAATTTGAACATGTTTTTGAAGATAATTTGAGTCTTTTTTTGAAATAAAAAAAAGTTAATACTAAGGATGGTAATAAATCGTAAATAAATAAATATCAATTATTATTCAATCCATTTACAGTGGATTCGAATAATTATAAATAGATAATTAATAGATTCAGATAAAAAATTTATTATCCGTGATGGATTCAGAGTGAATATGAATAGTATCTTCAATACTCAAATCTATTTAAGTTTTAATGAATAATAATGAATATTCAAATTCGGATATGAATTCATTATTTATTTACATATCTAAAATATATAAAATTGTATATTTGTATAAAGTTTTATACCTTAAAAAATAATTTTTATTTATTATTAATTAAGACTAAACTTGAATTTTAAATTATATTTTTGTTTATTTTATATTTTGACAAAAATTTTAAATAAACAAATATTTTAACATTTTAAATATTTAAACAAATAGTATTTATTTAAATAGATTCGAATTTAAATAATAATTTTAAATTTAAACAAATATTTAAATAAATTTAAATATTATAAATATTAAACGAATTCGAATACGAATATTTTAAAAATAATGAATATTCATTCCGTTATCATTCTTAATTAATACGGGGACAAGCTTCTTTCACTTTTATGTTAAGATGGAAACTTATTAGATTGATATTTATTGTTTCTATTACAAAAACTTTTTCTTTTCCTTTTAAACTCAATTATACGAGTTTAGTTGTTATGGATAAATTACCCATTTGGTCTCTTAAATATTATATTAATATCAATTCCACCTTGCTTGAGGCGTAAAGGTGGGTGATGGAGTCGATATGAACTTGTTTGGAACCAAATTTCTCCATAGAAAAGGATGATAGAAGGGAAACTTAAAAAAGGCTATGCCAAAAACATTGAACAAAAATTTTTATCCAAATTGAGAAAGATACTGTATTAAAATTCCTAACAAGGGAGGATTTTAATTTGTCAAAGGTATCATTTGGTTCTAAAACAAAGGAAACTATCATGAAAAGTAAGGCATGATAACTACATCCAAGAATATGGAAAATTGAAAAAAAATTGTCATATAACACAACCTTACTAAAACCTCATGTTAATTTCACAAGATAATCCATAATGTGCTTAATTTACATCGATGGAGATAAATTTAATTTGCGTCACAAAAATTTGGGATTGAGACAACTAATATAATGGGCAAAATTTATATTGTTAGCAATTACTTCATTGGTTACACCATTTTTTTTTTTTGAATTACAAGAAATTTTTAAATAAAATAAAATTCATTAAACTAGATTCATGCATCGTACATACCATTTGAATGTAGGCATTTGAGATAAGGAATTGAGTTTAAGACGTACAAGTTTGTGCTATATCATGCTTTATTGCTTAATCAACTTGAGTTGATAAGCTGCAAAAATGTTTGAAAAATTGGATGCTTGTTTAGATGATCTAAGAAGAGGATTAAGGCTGACAGTTGGTTGCTTTAGTTAAAACTTTCAATAGTACTCGAAGATAGAGGTGTTCATGAGTTGAATTAGACAAATTTTGGGTTAAACTCATAGTTAATATTAATAGTTTATATGTTTGTTTAGGTTCGATTCGATCTGAAATTTTAAATCTCAAATTTTTTTTAAATATAACCCAAATTAAAAAAATAAATCACAATTCACATATTAAATTAATTTATATAATAAAAATAAAAAAAGCAATTAGATAAGTTTAATGAGATTATACTTAATTTACATATATATAAAAATTAAAAAAATTTATACATGATATGTATCCCAAGTCATGATATTGTTAATTTCTAACAATCGTTGTTAAATGAAGTCATCTTTCGTGATATATGGCATGATATTTTTTTTTAACTTTGAGTATCAACCAAAGATCCCTAAAGATTTTTTAAAATATATATTTTTTGGTAATATTTTTATTTATATAATTTAAACAAAAGTAATAAATAACAACTTATATTAATCTTTGGGCATTTATGCAACATAAATAATTCTCCTTAAATTTTTAGCCCCATATATATATAATATATCTGCTGTCATGGAATATTTATATAATATTATTACGTCAATACTTTGGCCTCTATTCTCACTCACTCTCTTTCATTTCATCTCTCCAAATAAAACATGATATTATGTCAATACTTAATTGCCTGCCAATAAGTGCACTGTGAGTTATGAGTTTATAAGTCATAACATCCTTTAACTTTTACTCTTTCATCGATTACTATTTATTAGGGTTTTTTTTTTTTTGGCTTTTCATAAATTAAACCATCATTAGTTTATGATGCAAGTTAATTTCCAACTTTATCACTACCTCAAAGAAAGATGGATTTCATTGGGATATGTTTACAAAATTTAATTTGATATACACATGCTAAAAGAGTACACTTGAAATAAATTAATTTATAAGATATATATATATATAAATTGAACAGATTTGAGTATGCAATTTTATTTATAAATCTAAACTTAAATACTACATGTATAGTCTTCTCCGTATAACAAAAGAAAAAAAAAATTTATAAAGAAAACCAGGCATAGTTTTTTTCTGACTTTTTAGTTTCATTGGGATGAGAAAAACCAAGATTTACCCCTTTTAAATATTTAGTTGTTATGGATAAATTACCCATTTCGTTGTCTCATATCGTTCGTTTAAAAAAATTAATGTAACTATGATTAAAAATAATTTCAATGAAAAATTTATGCTAAATGAATCTTATTAGAGTTAACATTTAAATTCAACTGGTAATGTGATGAATTCAATCATACCGCATTAAAAATACGGTTGAATCCAAATGGGCACTAACATCAACATTGATGTTTTAACGCATGCTTTGACGCTTAAGTTAATTTTTTTACTACATGAAAAACAAAGTAAATGAATAAATGAATAGAGTAAAGAGAGAATGCCTTTGGTGAACCTTTATATAAAAAAAAAAATTAAAAAGAAAAAACCAGCCTGTTTCATCTCTAAAAAAAATAAAAATCTACTCCTCCCCCAAGATTGTCTAATTTGTCATGAACAATGGCAAGAGGATAAATAGGACAACGCAGGAGATTTATAAATTTTTTTTGTGAGACTTTATTCATTAGTAGAAATTATGTTTCACATGCTATTTTTACTTTTACAATAATCATGTCTAAGTTGATCATTTTCCAAAGCAAGATTTTCTAGCTTCTCTATTTGTCTATTAGTAATATTAAATTCTTAAATTCAATAATTAAGATCAATATCCTAACATTTCAAATACAAAAGAAAA